TAAACTGAATTAAAATTCAGTAAATTTATTGAATTCAACAAAATTTAATGAACTAGGAAACCATAAGTCCATGATCTAATTAATTAAAATTTGAAGAGAAATGGGATATTTACAGTTTCATAGTACCTCCTCACACAATAAAAAAGACAAATATAACAAAAGTACAAAAAGTACAACAGACCAAGAATAATTTGACAGTAGAAGAGCCTGGCAGACAATACCTTAATCAGTTGATCAAAGTGAACATCATCAATAATGTGACAAAATGAAATCATTTGCCACCTGATAGTATCTAATAGAGTTCAGCATCACTTTGCTGATATTCCTAATGCTGTGTAACCTGAATTAATCATGAGGAAACATCAGACAAATGCATTTTACAAAACTGTCAAGGTCAAGAAACTCAAGGAATTGTTCTAGACTGCAGAGAAACTGCAAGACATGACAGCTAAATGCAGTGCATGATTCTAGACTGGCCTTTTGGTGTAAAGAATGTAATTGGGGTAATTGAAGAAAATGGAATGAGATCCGAGGATTAGATGGTAGTAATACCAATTTTAGTTTCCTGATTTTGATGGTTGTATTATGATTATAAAGGAGAATGTCCTCGTTATTAAGAAATATACACTAAAGTATTAAAGGGTCACAGAGCATCAGATTGACAATTTCACTCTCAAATGATTCAGGATAAAAATGTTTCCCATATTTTCAACTTTTCTGTAATGTTTGTACTTTTTTTTTTTTTTAACTGAGGAAAAAGTTACCCTGGCCACTCTATAGAGATTATAGGCAGGGCAAGAGCAGATTTGAGAAGACCTGTTAGGAAGCTATGGTCAAAATTCATACGAAAGATATCACATGCCACTAGGATGATCATGGTGGAGAGGAAGAAAATGCATGATTTCAGGGTATCTTTTGGAGGTATACAGTCCATGGAACTTGGAAATAGATTGCATATGAAATGTAAGGGAAGAAAGGAATCAAGAATAACGCTTTGATTTTTGACATAAGCAACCAGATGGATGCTGGTGCTATAATATTGAGATAGGGAAGGCTGGGGGAAGAGCAGGCTTGAGAGGTTCAACATCAAGATCTCTCTCTCTGCTGTGTTAATTGAGCAGCCCATTAAACATCCATGTAAAGACATGGTTAGGAATGGAAGGGCAGAATCAGGAAGCCTAACACAAGGTTTTTGCTGTTGTTTGGCAAATAGTCCGTTAGCTGTTTTGGTACTAGAAGAAAATAAATTCAGGCAATTCTGAAAAACAGTGACTTGAATGAATGCATCCCCTTTGCTTTTTCTCTATCAAAATCAATCCAATGACCTGCTTTTTCTGAGCACAGGAGCTGCTGAGTCAGATAGACAGTGTCTGAAGTTTGTGAGCAAGCATCAAGCTATATCTTGCACAAGTACAAGATATTTTCTTATATGGGCCTGAGGAGAACCTGGGGCTCAATAGCGCAGAGACTAGGGAAGAGGATCAAAAGACCAGAAATGCTGGAGACAGATTTCTCTTAGTCTGTCGAGATTAGTAGATTCTCCAAAGGAAGGACAACAGTGGCCTATGTGAGTGTTACTGGGAGGACCCGGTGGTCTCCCTGGCCCTCACGGAATTACATACAGGGAGCCGAACGTAAAGGCTGAATATAGTATCTGAGGCTGGGAAGTCTCTACCTTTTGTACCTCCAGAGAATAAAGAGCAGAAATGCTTGCTCTTGGTGCTTTGCCAAGAATGACTGACAGCTTTCCAGCTGGTATACCACAAGCCTACAAGGGTA